GACGTCCAGACCAGTTGCAAACGGACGTACAATGGACGTCCCTTGTACGTCCGCTGCAGGTAATCTGGACATCCGATGGATGTACACAATGTCCGACCGGACATCCGTTGTACGTACATAGGATGTACTTGTGCTTATTGGGTCGCTACCGTGTTGATCATGTGCGCGGGACGTGCGACGCGCTCCGAGACGAGTGATCATCGAATGATTCCATCGTTGCAAATTCTGCCGATACATCGCTCGACAGGGTGTCTAGCAACCGGGAATTTCGGGAATTCCGGGAAAAAAGCGGGAATTTGATTTGCTCGGGAAATTCCGGGAAATAAGCGGGAATTTTTCAATATTTCCGGGAATTTGTTTAAATCAGTTAGAAATTATATATTTAAGATTAAAAATGTAGGCATGAATCTCCAATAGGTTTGCAATCTTAGAATCTAAACTTTAAATCTTAGAAATTATTTCCCGCAAACCATTTGGTTGTTTTTCGGTGGATATTTTTTCTATGTTTAAAATGTTTTTTGGAATCGCACGGCCGGCAATGCCGCTATGCCGCTTAAACCCCCACTATCGCGCCGAGTATCATATAACGCAACGGCAACTCGCGACTCCTGGCTCGCGATTCGCGGTTCCGCTCTTCCCCTTCTCTTTCGGCATCGCGTGTTTTCGACAAGTATTGACAAGTACAGTCACGATTGTTTCTCTCATACTGAAATTATTATAATTATATTACGTGAAATAAAGTGTGTGAAAAAGGTTTTATATATCACTTCAGGTGAGTGTATTTATGTAATATTCATTTAGAGTAACTACATAAAGGGAGCATTTTTAAAAATATAATTTTAAATCAATTAATTCTTTCATTTTTTTATATGTTATTAATATGTTATTATTTGTATAAATAGTAAAATAGTAAACTTGTGAACTTGTAAAAGATTATGAGATCTCTCGCTCTTCTCGGCATTCTTTATTTTCGTATTCTTCTCTCCTTTTTTATTCGCTTTTTCTCTTGAATTTGAAAACGATATTTTGTTATTTTTATCAAATAAAAAGACCGAGAGATGGCAAAATTTGTCTTTTTAAAACTAACAATTCTTGTAACTAATTTTGGTCAGTAGTGTGTTTTACTATATATTAAAATTGGTTTTATAATATTTAATTAATATTTAGTAATATATATTTGAATAATAGACTATGTTAATACTTGTTTAGCACTATGTTTTAAAATTTATTATTTTAATGATCGTATAGTTTGTTTGCCATGGGTCCATCTAAAACGCAGTTTCAAATACAATGGATATCTGACTTCCCATGGGTTTCGAAAGGAAAGAACCAATATGAAGCTTTCTGCAAACTTTGCAATAAATATTTTTCTTATGAGTCGATGGGTCGTACTGCCCTCGTAAGCCATTCCAAAGGAAAAAAACAAAGATGCTGCTAAGACTAATGAGAAGACAGTTCCTGTCCATTCTTTCTTTTCTTCTCAAACATTACGCCAAACTATTTCATCATGTTCAGACGCAAATAAAGAAATGTTCATCAGTACATCTTCATCTGCATGCCCGTTAGTTGCATCAACCAAGCAATTATCATCAACTACGGTGACAGAATTAAATAATCGGCTCCCTCTTCAACAATTGAATCCTTCAACTTCTACCTTAACTCTTGATAAATATAAGATAAAAAATAGTGTGACTGAAGCGGAAATACTTTGGTGCTTGCACACCGTCATTAGGCACAATTCTTTGCGTGATGCCGAAAGTAGCGTACTACTTTTCTCTAGAATGTTTCCAGATAGCGCCATAGCCAAGGATATAAAATTGCACAAAGACAAAATTTGTTACAGCATCGTTTATGGGCTATGTCCATATTATCAAAAAATTCTGAAAAGTTCCGTGCAGGAATGTCGATATTTTGTTGTTGGATTCGACGAAAGTTTCAATAAGATAGCTGAGAAGTCGCAGATGGATTTAAGTATTCGATTTTGGAATGAAAACACTAATGAAGTCAAAGCACGATATTATAATTCAGTATTTTTGGAACATACAACAGCGACAGACCTGTACGAAGGATTCAAATATGGGTTGCATGGATTAGATTTTCGGAATGTTTTGCAAATTTCGATGGATGGACCTAATGTTAATTGGGCATTTTTGCGCCTTTTTTTGAAAGACGAGAGAGATACGCCTGATTCTCCACAATTACTGCAAATAGGATCATGCGGTTTACATGTTGTGCATGGTGCATTTAAAACGGGCATGCAGAAAACCAAATGGGAAATAATTTCTTTTTTACGCGCATTGTTTAATTTATTTAAGCAGACACCAGCTCGCCGTGGAGATTTTACTACAATTACAGGTTCGTCTCAATTTCCTCTGAACTTCTGCCACGTTCGTTGGATAGAGAATGCTAAAGTCGCAGAGAGAGCTAAGAACATTTTACCTTTTATACAGATGTATGTGGAAAAAGTGAAGAACACAAAACAGGAACCTACTTGCAATAGTTTCAAGATAGTAGCAAAAGCATTACAAGATAAGCTTCTTTACGCAAAATTAACATTTTTTCAATCCCTCGCAGAAGAGTGTGAACCATTTCTTACTGAATTTCAGTTTGACGCACCATTAGCACCATTCTTGCACGGCGCGTTGATGCTTCTTTTAAAAAACTGCATGACTCGGTTTGTAAAAGACGATGTAATGGCAGCTGAAAAATTGCACATTATTGACGTCTATAAGAAAATTGATAATATATACGTAAACCTTAAAAATGCCAAAGATATCGATATTGGCTACGCTACTCGAGCTGCATTAAGAAAATGTAAAGGAGTTAATGATAAAGAAGTATTGTTTCTTCGCCAAGACATTAGAACATGCCTTCAATTTTTTGTTGGAAAACTCCTTGATAGAAGCCCTTAAAAATTTCCATTGACAGAAGCTTTAACATTTTTAAATCCAAGAAGTCTGTCTACTGATGAGAAAACGGCATTTAAAAATTTGTCGGCAGCTTTGGACATCGCTGTAAAAGAAAATGTGCTCTCTGCATCGGTGGCTCAGAACGCGGAAAGGGAGTTTAAAACATTAGTGTCTGAAGAGTATGTCCTCGAGCAAATGAAGACATATTCTCGACAAAATTTAAGATTGGATCATTTCTGGATGGACATTCTTTCCAAGACTGATGCAGATGCAAATCAAAACCTGCGGACAGTAATTAAAATGTTTTTAATCTTGTCACACGGGAATGCATCCTTGGAAAGGGGATTTTCTATAAATAAAGACATTCTTGTAGAAAATTTGAAACATGAATCACTTATTGCTCAGCGTGTTATTTATGATGCTGTGACTGATGCTGGTGGACTAATTCCGACGTTCAATATTTCCAAATCGATGGTGCAGTCAATGAGAAGTGCCTACTCTAGATATAAGGAAGCTCTTGATGAGCAAAAGAAGAAAATTTCCGATCGAGACAAAGTTGTGGCTGAAAAAAAGAAAGCCAAAATTATGACTCAAGAACTGGAGGCGAAAAAGCGACGAATTCTAACTCAAACCTCTGAAGAGATAGCCGCCATAGATGAGGAAATGAAGAAATGGCAAAAATAAATTAATAATTATTACTCTTTAACGTTTATAATACATTGTGATACTAAAACTGCTATAAAAAAGTTGAGTTTATTTAATTTACTTATTAGAGTAACTATATCTCAGTAATATAATATACATTTTGTTTAATAAATATAAGATATTTTTCAAATTATATTTTTATGTATTGTATTTTTCTTCTTTTTTATCTCCGAATCAAATACAATTATCATACTGAGCGAGCCTATACCTTCCCAGAAAATCCGGGAATTCTTACCAAAACTCCGGGAAAATTCCGGGAAAAAGCCGGGAATTTTGCCGAGACAAATTGCTAGACACCCTGCTCGAATCCCGTACAATGATGTTATAAAAATTAATATTAATCATGCAGATAAATATTTTAAAAATTCAAGTTTTTAATAATAGCAAATTAAAATATAGAATATATGATTTAACCACAAAATACAGAAAAATTTTATCAAATAAAAGACAATCTGACTCTCAATACTGTGCAAACTTATTGAAAGGATGTAATCTGTTTATGCGTATAAGGAATAGAAATCTTATACTCGTTTCAAGTTATAAAGCCTTTAATCAAATTTTGTTGTCTCTCTTGTCTTGAGGACGTACAATGAAAAACTGAGAAAGAAAAAAAGAAACTGCTTTAGCTCTCTCTTGTTCGCTGCCAGCGCACTTTTCATAACGCCATCTATTTCCGTGTGCGCGCATTACGATCAGCCCGAGATCACAGATTAATAGACAGATCGCCAAAGGACTGTCTAAAGACACAGATTAATAGACAGATCGCCAAAGGACTGTCTAAAGACACAGATTAATAGACAGATCGCCAAAGGTCTGTCTAAAGAGGAGACCGTTATTTTTGCCCCTTACCGACACACTTTGCCCCTGGTTCGAGTCCAGGCTAATAAAATTCTTTAATTTTACCAACCACGTTTTTAAGTAAAACGTGCGATAAAGTTGAAATGTCTGTAGTTCGTAAAAATACGTATACTCCTTTTCACACCACCGCGGGGGTAGAGTATTATATTTAGCTTTTAGTTTCTCTGTAGATACTTATAAAATCTTTTTCGGCAACAAAATATTTCTAATATAATTTTTCTGCACCTCTTACAATTAGTCACATATAATACTATAAGTGTGCACATTTTCTCTTTCAAACTTAATTCGCTCTATATCTTTGAAATGGTTAATTCCACGAAAAAAAGTATAATAATCCTTTTTTAGGGAATTTTATGAGCTATAATTTTGATAATAACTATTTTTCTCTAAAAATTGATAGTTTTCGAGATAATGGCAAAAAAACTAAAATTTACCTCCATTTACCCCCCATAAAAAAAACGCCCTGGATAAAATTAAGGATACTTTCAGGATTTTATTAGAATATCGAAATAAAGGTCTCCACAAAAATTCAGCTTGGTCATAATTTTTATGAAGTCAAAGTCTAATTTTCTGGACTAGAGATTATTGAAACGGTAGCGAACATCGGCAATTGCTCATTTTCGATGAAAATTGCACGGGATATTGGCCTGGCCGTCTTGGAGGGTATGGAAGACCTTGGGATCCTGGAAGGCAGGGCATTAAGAAAGGCCGTGGCATTCTGTGCATTGACATCGGTTCATCCATTCTATACATCGATTCAGGCATTCTGTAAGTCGACATCAATTCAGGCATTTTGTACATTGGTCTAGGTGTTCTGTACGGTATAGATTCAGGAAAACGCTGGAATAAATATTATTTTATATAAGCTTCGTGCTCTAAAGGGGCAATTTCACGTGCCGCTAAAACAAGTGATTGAAGCGACAGATTTATCGCTCGTAATCTAGCATCAACAATTTTGTATTATAGTTTGAATCAGTTCAATTACAAAGCATTTACTGCTTAAATGATCAACTTTCTATTCTGTCACGCTGCTATTTTTTTCATGGACAAAAATTATCGCTGTTTAATTCAGCGACCAAAAGTTGGTACGTGATCATTTTGTCGCTCAAATCGGTTTCAGCAGCTCGTGAAAAGGCACCTAAAAGCATCTGAATTTGCTCAATATTATTCGAAGAATCAATTTTGATTTTTTTAACTCTGTAATTCTTTTTAATTTTAAGCGACATTTTAATCAATTTGTATATATTATCACCCATGTAGCAAACTGATATCATTAAACGTCCAAATGTCATTATTAGATGTCAAAATGACGTTAGTTATTCGATGTCAAAATGATGTACGCTTGCTACCTGGGCAGTTTCTCAATATTAGCTAAACTTACCATGCAAGTATTATTGTAAGACCTATATGAAGGATACCAGTTTGCGCCTAATTCTGAACACGATGATGATACTTGAATATCTGATTCACATGATTGAGTTCTTCTAGATGAAAATGTATCTTCATCATAGTCTTGTTTTTCTTCTTTCAATTCTTTTCTTTCAATATTTGACGGCAGATTATTGCTTTTCATAAAATAGAAAAAAAATTTATTCCTATTATATATCCAATAAAAATGTGTTTTAAAAAATACGTAAGTTATAATTTTATTATAATAGAACCAAAAAAATTCTGCTTAAAATAGCAGAAAAGTATAACAATAATTTTTAAAAAAAGTAAAACTCTTCTCTCGACCGTACTGGCAAATATTATTTATTAAATCACAACGTTTCGACCCTTCTTTCGGATTTAATGTTGTTCATAATATTCCTAAAAAACCAAATCATTTAATTACACTCGGCAAGGATAGACTGCCTACATATAAAAAGACTGAAGTAGTTTACAAAATTAATTGTAATGATTGCAACGTGTCATACATCGGACAAACAAAGAGACATCTATGTACACATGTAAAGGAACATTTCAGCAACATCAAAATGCATTCGAGTAATTTATCAGTTATCAACAAACATAAAATTGAATTCGATCACGATTTTGACTGGACTTCGCCGGTTATTTTGCACAGTGAAAAACACGTAAGAAAAAGAGAAATCGCTGAAATGTTTTTTATTAAGAAAAATAATAACGCTATTAACTTACAAAAGGATACCGACAATTTAAGTAATATCTACGACAAAATAATAAAGGTCGTTTAGTCTCTCATAACTCGTCTAAGAGTCTTGACGTGTTGTCAAACCGACACTATATTCGTTCTTGACATCTTAAAATTATAATTTTATTTTTATTTTCACAAGTATGTTTCGCTTCTTTTTATTGTTTTGTAATATTGTTAAGTGAAGTAATTTTTTTTAATTGTATTAATCTCTGTACTGTATTTCTTCTCTATGTATATCTAAATCACTTGATAAGGACTCAAGAAAGGTCGACACGTTGTCATTTAATAAATAATATTTGCCAGTACGTTCGAGAAAAGAGTTTTACTTTTTTAATTCTGTCTGGCGATTCTCAAATATCTACGTTTTTAATAATTTTTTAGTTACACACAATTTTTAAATCAAATTAAAGATATGCTGGATGAGTGACGGCCAAATTCCGATAAGTTAGCACCACACATAACCGCACATATATGCACGTATAACATATACACACGCATATATACACACATATATGTAAAAATTTATTAACATATAACTTTTTTGTTAGACTTACAATCTTACTTGGAATTGTTCACTAATATATTTCTTATTCATGTTATCCCGATCGCGTGAGCTATATATCTTATACACAGACAAACTGCAGAGTTTTTTTATTAAATAATATTGTTACGAACTAATACAAGAAGCCGATAACAAAATTGTGATTTTTGATTTTTATATGATTTATATATATAAAGTTATAGCTAACACAATCCGTTTTTAAGTATTTTAATCGTGGAAAAGGAATATTTATTGATTTGTATAGTCAATAAAAAGATAACTTTATAATTGACAATTACTTAATATTCGCATTCGGTCGTAAGCATATGCTTTAACAAATAAGAAATATATTAATAATAAAAAATAAAATATATAATAATAAATATATATATAATAATAAAAAGCATATAATAATGTTTGTGTATATACGAATAATTAATATTATTAACAAATTATTCTAGCCTGTGCGAATAACTGCGCGCCGCATATTGTTGGTCTTGAAATACAGTTCTTACATGTGTTAATTAATTTAATTAACCATTTGTGTGTTAATTAAAAACTTATTCGTTCCAAATATAAATCAAATTAGAAACTCAGGTTGGTTAGATACTTATTATTAATATTAATATAATTCATATATGTATGCGCCTAAACAAGTTAAATTTGATAGTAAGAACATATTTATAAAAATTTTGATGTATATTCAGAGCATATATGAATTTAATTATTTTTAAATTTGACATTTGGTTTTTATTTGAATTTAATTTAGTTCATATAAATAAGCAATCAAAACTATATTTAAATCATATTTAATTGTTTTTCGCAGGTTATTACTCTAGATTCAATATCTATAGATTCGAATAAATACCTGTATTGAACTTCTTGATTCATTGTGTCCAAAGGTATATTTTCTTGTGTCCGTGTTTTTTTCGTCTAGCAGTTGTTCTTCTGGAATCGCTAATATAATCCAAATATATATTATTTTTAACATATTTGTAAAATGTTATCATATTTAATTATTCATATTCCATATTGTAATTTTTAAACATAAAACTTATAATTTGAAATATATAAAATATATAAAATAAAAATATATATACATATATATATATATATATATTATATATATATATATATACAATGTATATATTATATATATTGTATAACATATATTAAAATATTATATATTATAGTATCATAAAAAAGATATGATACAATAATACTTTACCTTTTTTTCTTGGAAAAATTACATTATTCGCATTATCAATATCTCGTCCAATTTCTTTTTTTATGTTTTCACTCGTCCGATATCTTTCATTAGAAATACGTACCTTTTCTTTACGCAGTTCTTTTTCATCAATGGTTGTATTTTTGTTTAAATTAGACACTTCTATTTTCAATCTAAAAGTATTTTAAAAATATTATATAAATTTCTTTTCAAGATATTCTTTAGAAAAATATAAGAAATTTTAAAAATTCAGCTCATATATATATCAGTTACATTTTTATATAAAAAGTTTATATCTTATACTTTTATAGTATAAACTATACATTTATATTTGAAAATCGTAAGAAATATATTTTTATAAGAGAAAATAAATTGTTATATCAAATTTAATGTTGTCTGTTATTAATTCTAATATTAAATATTAATTTATAACTAAATAATATTTTATAGAGCAGGACCATTTTAATCAATGCACGCAAATATCTTATAAAGTAAGCAAAATAGAAAATATGCATGTTTTATACAAAAGTTACAGGGTTCAGAGGGGGACACCTGACGGTGATTTTGGCTTTGACCTTAATGGCAAATTTGAAGGTTATTTGAAGGTAACTTGATTTTCTTAAATGAAACAACCAATTTTTCATATCATATATTCTGGTAGCTGATGTCGAGACCTTTCTAAAACACTATAATAAAACATTTTTCTATTAAGTACTTTTTGAGTTATAAAGGTTTAAAATTAACAATTTTTTGACATAAAATGTATGACATCAGCTACAAGAATATAATATGAAAAATTGGTGGTTTTATTTAAAACAAGTCTACCTTCAAATGACCTTTAAATTTGACATCAAGGTCAAAGTCAAGGTCACCATCAGGTGTCTTCCTCTAAACCCTGCAACTTTTGTATAAAACATATTTTTCTATTTTGCTTACTTTATAAGATATTTGCGTGGATTGATTAAAATGGTCCACCCTGTATATATTACTTTTCAAGGTCTTTCCGTAAGTTATCTGCAGTTCTTGACTGTGGGCTGTGACTTTTGCTTCGTGGAGATCTTTGCTTATTTTTTAATTGAACTAGTATTATGCTTATATTCAACACTTTTATATGTAACTCTTCCAGCTGTAACTTCATAGCTTCAAGCACTTCAAGCACTTTCTTAAACTCTGGTTGGATGTCCGATTTTTCTTTTGTTAATTCTTTTTTTTCCATTACTAATGTTAACTTATTCTCTTCTTCGTACGAATTGATTGGTAACGCTATGTAAAAAAAAAGCAAAATCTTATATTTATATATAATAATATAATTTTGATTACAGAAAAATAATAGAATTTAAATAATTAATATAATACATTTTTTATAGATGCATTAATGTATTTCCTGCTACAATTGTCCATTTTTAAAAATAAACATGTGTAATTATTTTACATGATTTATTTTCTTCATTATCCTACACATACATACATGCACATACACATATACACACGCACATATACACACACACTCACACATCTCTCTTTCACTCATATATTTATATGTATGTATTTATAAACAACAATTATAATAATGTTTTCTTTTTCTTATCATATCTATAATTCTCTCTTATTGTTAAATATGTCTTGTTCAAACTATTTAATCATATATATTCATTCGAGCGTTGTTTTGAATTTATTTTACATTATTATATTTTATATTACACTCGTCAAAAAAATTATCGCAACATCTATTTAATATCAAAATTTTGCGTAAATTCAAATAAGCGTATATCCATGACAAATTATCGTATTTGAAAATTCTTTTGTTTTAAAGGGTGAAGTTTCGTTCGATTTTGATTTGCATCCTCTCCTCTTCTCCCCCTTCCTTTAAAAAGTAAGGTGTTTTTTTAAATTGCAAAATTTGACGAACTCTACGGAGTGAAATACATTTTTTTGCAAATCTTATCTAAATTTTCGTAAAATATGGACTTTTTCCTACAAATTAAAAAAAAAGCAAAGTTTATACGATTTTTGCAGAGTTACGGCATATCAAAGTTATATCTATGTATTTTTGTGCATTTACCATCAACATTAGCGATACCTGAGTACTTATTACGGTTCTTTGGGTGAGTTTGCTCATGAGGTGATGAACGTGGTTTAAGATCGCAAGTTTTTCGACATTTTTCTCTCCAAGTATGGATTATACATTTTTCCATACATTAGTGAAAATATTAAACTCGCGATCTTAAACCACGTTCACATAAACGTTTTCTAATTGTTTGATCACTGATTCTGTGAGAGAGATTAGCAATTTGTCGCGCAATCATCGTTGGTGCGCGTCGGATATCGCTATAATGCACGTGGTAAATAGAAAAAATGTATGGGTAACTTTCATATGTAATAACTCCGCGAAAAAATCGTACGAACTTTGCTTTTTTTTTAATTTGTAGGAAAAAGTTCATATTTTACGAAAATTTGGATAAGATTTGCGAAAAGAATTTATTGCATCCCATAGAATATTATATTGTTATTAACATTTTTTCATATGTGCACGAAAATGTATATAGGATTAGTTATTCTCGTTTACTAGGCTTCCAAATTGATATCTAAACATTCACTTATATTCCTTTATCTAATGCCAAATCTGGCCTGGTCTTATTTTGTATGTACAAGCTGCCAATAAAAAGAATAACTTATTTATACTTTATCTAACCACACATTTTGTCGATAAAACAGGAAAAACAACAAACTCACTCCGGCATCCCCTTAAACAATATTTCCTTTTGTTTTATTGTGTTTGATTGCGCACACGAGTGTAATAGAAGATTTGTTATATTTTTCTTTACGAACAGTGAACATTGAACTTTATTTTAAATCTATACTATTATTCCAATTCTACACATCTTACTTTTTAAAGGAGGGAAGAGAAGAGAGAGGATGAAATCAAAATTAAACGAAAGTTTCTTAAAGTACAGACTTCACCCTTTAAAATAATAGTATATTAGCTAACAAGCGCGGGGGATCATAAATCGGCCGAGAGTGCGGAAGTGTGGCGCACGAAGCGAAACCGAGTGTGACAATCTCGGCTTCGCCTTGTGCGCCAAATTTCGCATTCTCGGCCGATTTATGACCCGCACATGTTGGCTACGATATTTTGCGTGGAAAGGGAGCCCTTTCTAAAATTCTAGCATGTGCGGAAAGAGCGATTTTTCGCGCGCCGGTTGCACAAAAAATGTTTTTCAAATACGATAATTTTTCACGGAGATACGCTTATTTGAATTTACACGAAATTTTGATATTAATTGCGTGTTGCGATAATTTTTTGACCAATGTATATATATGTTTTATCATATATAGGTTTTATTAAAAAAAATTATATATATATGTTTTTTTAATTTTTTTACATCCACTTATCAATTTTTTAGACAAAATTTTAAATTCTATTACTTATCATGTGCTTTCCTTACTTACACATTGTTGGATCTATCATTCTCTTCCAAATTTCTTTTTATTTATTAAATTACCCTGTTATTCTTATTTTTCTTTTTCTTGGATTAATTGGCAGATAGATATAACTTACACGGCCACAAAAATGAATTGATCAAATGCTATTTTTCTTCTTTAAATTAAATACGACTTTTGAACATGCGTTCATTCCCGAACGATATAACGAACTATAATAGCTCCTGCCCACAGGATACGAAACATGCAAGAAGACTAGAGACCAGGAGACCGAACTCCTTAAAATTTCAGTAGTGGGGGTAAGTCAAAATACGGTCTCATTTCATGGGCGCTGTTCGCAGTAAAATCGCCGGCCAATTCATGAACTATGGCGTGTTGGACTTCGAAGTTTCATGCAATATAATCAAGAACATAAGCTTGGCATCTTGGCAGAATGTAAATTTTGATGTCGTAAGTATTAATAAATAATATATGATACTTGGGAATGACGAAGTTCACATAGGAAACCTTTTTTTGATAAAACAAGCAAAGTCTAACACGTCGTAGTTCATGAATTGGCCGACGACCATACTGCAAACAGCGCCCAGGAAATGAGACCATATTTTGACCCACCCTGACCACTGGAGTTCAGTCTCATGGGTATCGATTCTGTAACTTTTTCTAAAGTGAAAATGTGAAAAGTGAAAAATTTCCGCCAATCACGCATTGATTTTAAAATGAAATTGATGTGCAATTGGCGGAAATTTTTTACTTTTCACGTTTTCACTTTAAAAAAAGTTACAGAATCGATACTCTGGGTACCTATTACGGTTATTTGACTGAGTTTGCTCACGAGATGAAAATCACAAAAATGAGAGATTCACTAGATTTTGACCAATAGAAGCATAGACACCTAGTGAATCTCTCACTTTTGTGATTTTTACGTGGGTATCTATTACGGTTATTTGGGTGAGTTTGCTCACGAGATGAAAATCACAAAATGAGAGATTCACTAGATTTTGACCAATAGAAGCGTAGACAACCTAGTGAATCTCTCACTTTTGTGATTTTCACCTCGTGAGCAAACTCACCCAAAGAACCGTAATAAGTACCCTCGTGAGCAAACTCACCCAAAGAACCGTAATAAGTACCCTGGAGGTCGATTGTGTATCTTGGGTGAGTTTGCTCACGAGATGAAAATTACAAAAGTGAAAAGATTTACTAGATATCGACAAATGAAACCGTGGGTACTCTAGTAAATTTCCTCACTTTGTAATTTTCACCTCGTGAGCAACTCACCCAAGATACACAATCTACTCTCTGGGTACTTATTACGGTTCTTGGGTGAGTTTGCTCACGAGGTGAAAATCACAAAAGTGAGAGATTCACTAGGTTGTCTACGCTTCTATTGATCAAGATCTAGTCAATCTCTCACTTTTGGGATTTTCATCTCGTGAGCAAACTCACCCAAATAACCGTAATAGGTACCCTGGTTTCTAGTCTTCTTGGAAACATGCTTGCCGCGTGACAAGTGCTATGTGCAGAAACACTGACGAAGTACTGTTAGGCCCGTATTCATAGTCCGATCTAAAGCCGGGTCTACATTGGTCGTAGAATCGTAGATCGTAAGAAAATTGATCCAATCATAGTTAAATGTGATGTAACATCCCGTCATTTTTCAAAACCGTATTTTTGTGCGCTACAAATCCTTCTAAATAATTACTTAAGGGTCGACAGGTCGGCCGGCCAAACTCCTATTGATGTTGGAGACCTCGCGCGGTGACAACGCGAAACTTCGATTTCAGTGTTGCCAACGCCGAGAAACCAATTCTCGGGTTTTATGTAGTGGTGCATGTCTGTACACGTACATACACCATTGCATTGCTCACGCGGACGCACGGTAGAGAGACAAGGACCGATAATCACGTGTTCTCCTTGTTCCTCTACCGTGCCGGTATACGCGAGATGCCGCCTGAAAATGCTTTCTGGCCTTCCGTAGCAGAAGGCAGTAGCGTAGCAAGGCTAATAAGTACCTACTTTTTGTAAATTTATATATGCTATGCACATATGTGCGTATATATATATATATATATATATATATATATATATATATATATATATATATTATATAAGGGATATGTTGATTATTCTTGATTTCTTTTTGATTATTGATGCTATTGTATATTTTCCCAAATACATTATAACGTGAAAGAACGTTGAGTACCCATACAGCACAGATTATTGCAATATATTGGCAGCAACGTTGCAATGTTGCAAGTTGCAATGCAAACATTATAAAGACATTGCAGAGATATAAGTGCACAAAATTCCAGCACACTTGTACAACATGACATTAATATTTCGGAAATATTGCATGTAATCCAAATTCTATAATTTATATATTGTAATATATATGAATTAACTACAACGTATTTTCATTAATGATTTATTTACATTTATATACCTGTATATGCAACATTAGTTTATGGTTGCAATAACAATACATTATTGCAAACTCATAACAATTGCAATATTGTTGTAATATTTTGTTGCAATCTTCCAAAAAGCGGACATTTTAACATTGCTGCAATTCAACAGCAATGATGTAGCAACATTTTGAGTGAATTTGCATATTGCAATATTGCGGTGAAAGATTGTTGTAATGTTTTTGCAATCTTTCGGTGCTATATGGGTATGTATAATCAATGCAAGAATGTTCAGTATATCATCCAGTAAATTAGCGTTCAAACATATCAATATCAATTTTTTTATTATATGTTATATATATATATACATATATATTGGAATATAGAAAAATGATAAAAAAGATATTTCGGCGATTAAAAATTTTTTAATATATTGAAAATATTTTTACTACATAC